ATTTACAAATTTTTTTTCTCTAATAGGTGTTATAGGTTAAAAAATCGATTTTTTTCAAAAAAAAAATTCTACGGGCAATGCCGGACTCTTTAACTAGTATAATATATAAAGATTACCCGATTATAATGGAGTTCTGGGGTACTTCGACAAACTATATCTTTCTCAGCCTAAATAGTGACAATCATATAAAACTATCGAAATAGGTTTTCAACAAAATTTTAGAAAGTCCCTTAAAAGAGTGCCATGAATAATTTCCTATAAAAAATTCATTTAGATATCTATTCTTAATTTTATACTTGACAACGTGTATAGTAATTTTAAAATCAAAGATGGTTCTTTAAAAAAAGCAGTTGCTAAAAGTTACGCTGACAGTCTCTAAACTGTCGAGACTAAAAACTGTTAAATAACAGGTTTTAATTCTTCAGATAAACATAAAATAGGACTTTAAACGCTTGTTCGTGTTTCATTTTTATCTGGTACAAATAGATTTGTCAGACGCTCTTCATTATTGCAATGAATCCTATCTTTAACCCAGGCTATTAAGTACACGACCCGTCAAATCCTCAAGTAAGATCATTTCAGAAACAATCTCAAGAACTAACGAATGTCAACACAGACCGAAATATATATTTTCAATCAAATGTGGAACTAACATCTAAATCTAATTTTCACCTGTGAATAAGCTGACATTGCTTGTTTCAAAGTTCGAGGATTTTGAGAGACGAGAAAAAAATGCGCAAAATATGCATTTCCTAAAAAATATCAATTAATTGTATATTTCGTTTAATAAAGATCATTTTCTGACCAAAAACTTCGTTAATATAATAACTCTGGTTTATCTAATGTAGACAAGAATATAATATGCCGTACGTTAATTATTATTCACCTAATATAGACCAGGACATACCGCCTGTGTATCCGGGACAGCTGTATTTACCTAATATAGACCAGGACATACCGCCTGTGTATCCGGTACAGCTGTATTTACCTAATATAGACCAGGACATACCGTCCTGTGTATCTAGGGCAACTGCTTCTTTTCCCTTTACCAAGCTCTCCTCAATATTTGAAACCTGAACAACATATTTTAAAATAAAATAAATAAAAAAGTACATTTCCGCACACTCCCCTACCCGGCCCCCTGGCCCGGGGGATTTCATAAGCTTTTGATAGAAAAAAATAATTTTGAAAAACTTTTCTCAGCGTTTTCCATTTTTTTCTCGTTAAAAATAAAATTTTTCTTCCTATTTAACATTTTTCCTCAAAAAATACTTATCACGTAAAATAATTTGAAGAAAAAGTTTGAGTGAAGGATAGGGGGGGGGGTCGAGTAAAGCTTACATCTAATAAAAATTTTAATTTAGGTCGATATGGAATCTATAATTTGGCCGGCTTTAACATTAAAATGCTTTTGAATTCAATTTTTTAAACAATTTAGACCACAAAAGTTTCAGCCTGATCCCTTGAAAACTCGAGGCGGGGGCAACGATTACAATTTGTTTCCGGTCCCGGGGTGCAAAAATCTGGACACTACCTTTTCCTCTGGGCTTTTGACAGATATCTGACGGAGCACCATGGAGAGAGAACGCAAGGAAACCTGGAACAAAATAAAGAGTTAACAAAAGTCCTTTTAGGGACGGTGGGCATAATTCCATGGAAAGAGTGGCCCATATCCGATTTACAACGGTACTCTTAAAAGCTTTTCTGATCAAGAATTAAAAAAATATGATTTCTCTTTTAAAAATTGTTCATTTACAAATTTTTTTTCTCTAATATAAGGTATTGCTGTCAATCGGGTTCCTCTTTATAAATGGAGTTTCACTAGAAATTATAAGACGGTCCATGAAATTCTCCTGCCTTATTCCAAGTTTTGACAAATTAACACCCCTGATTCCCTTGAACCCCTTGTACCTTATTCTTCTGGTGCTGAAGAGCCCCTTCAAAACAAATTTTTGCATTTGGAAAATCTTGTTTCCTTGTATACGATTCTCCGAGCTCATTCCAGGCCGTCACCATACTAGGGTTCAGCTTTACTGCTCTGAAACAACAAGGAAATCTTAGAGAAATTGTATTTATAGATATATCTAGTAGTATGTCCGATCATAACTCGAGAACCCCTTTACCGATTTGCCTAAAATTGTTATTGGTATAAACACGGAAATGATCTTTGCTTGGTTTATAAGTTCAAGGTACATGTGTTGTGTATGTATTATATGCAATGCATGTGTTGTGTATGTATTGTATGCAATGGATGTGTTGTGTGTGTATTGTATGCAATGGATGTGTTGTGTATGTATTGTATGCAATGGATGTGTTGTGTATGTATTGTATGCAATGGATGTGTTGTGTATGTATTGTATGCAATGGATGTGTTGTGTATGTATTATATGCATTGCAAGTGTTGTCTATGTATCATATGCAATGCAAGTGTTGTCTATGTATTATATGCAATACAAGTGTTGTCTATGTATTATATGCAATGCATGTGTTGTCTATGTATTATATGCAATGCATGTGTTGTGTATGTATTGTATGCAATGCATGTGTTGTGTATGTATTGTATGCAATGGATGTGTTGTGTATGTATTATATGCAATGCAAGTGTTGTCTATGTATGATATGCAATGCAAGTGTTGTCTATGTATTATATGCAATGCAAGTGTTGTGTATGTATTGTATGCAATGCATGTGTTGTGTAGGTATTGTATGCAATGCATGTGTGTGCATGTATTGCATGTATCCGCAACATCTAGGGGAGGGGTTGATCAATGATTATTTTCAAAGAAAGGGAGGGATACCTAGATAAAGGGAGGGATACCTAGATAAAGGGAGGGATACCGAGATAAAGGGAGGGATACCTAGATAAAACGTCCTCGGCTTCCTGACTAAAATCAGTTTCAACATTTAACAATCTTCCTTTTAGGTAGAGAAACTCCGCTCTACCCTCCTCCCCTCCACACCCCTCCTCAACCCCCCTCTCCTCCTCACTCAAGAACTCTTTCAAGATATCCAACTTCATCTCCTTCACCGCCACCATCTACAACAACATGGGGGTTATCAAAATAATCTAATTGAGATTTTACAAAATTAACATTTTTTAATATTATTTCATGGTTAGATTAGGTTAAGACAATTTTTAGGAAGAGCGCTGCGGCTAGGACATGATAGGGGGCCTATTGCAGGAACTTATAAGACAGATACGTTACACATGGTCCAACTTTGACCCTGTGTAACATCTGAGCTCCATGTACAAAACTGAAAGGAGGAGGAGGGTGGGGCCGGGGGGTCCATAATGCGTACGGTAGAAAAATACCTATATTCTCCCCTCCCCCCAGCATAATACTATACAAATCTTTAAGTCGAATTAAAAACTGGGGTCCGTCCAAGTACACAATTTTTGGACCCCCCCCCCATCCTATTAATTTGGTACATGACCATTATTTTACATTTTTCAGCAAATTAGTTTATATTTAGGGTTTAATTAGGTCCTCTAGCCTGTCTGAGTCGAGCGCTGCGGCTAGGCCAGGCTAGTTGGCCGAGCGCCGCAGATAGGACAGGCTAGGTCTTGGGTCACATGACCCACTTTATCCATGTGTTGAATATGAGCATTTACAAAATCGATAGGAGGGGGGGGGGTCCAAAAATCGTATACTAGGAAATTACCTAAAAACGACCAAAATTGTACCTTATTAGCTGCTTCTTCTAGCTGGTGGTTCTCAAAGTAACGATCCTTAAATATGTACAGTCCTTCCACTTTCTCCTTCAACCTCACCAACACCCCCTGGTGTTTATCCTGCAAGGATAGTCCGTCAACTTTATCATGCAATTCATCCCCACCCATTACTATCTGAAATATTAACATTTTTCAATATTTTAAGACAATTTTCGATCCTCTACGATTTCGGCCGGCCGGTCCGTCCTAGAGAACGATTTTTAGGAGCAGGGGGGGCGGGG